ATTATAATCGATGCCGTCTGTGGATCGGCCGCGGAGAGGGTAGTTGGAAGCAATGAAGCAGCAATAACACACGACGACGAAAGTTTCGTCACGAAACACAGTTCATCTATCTCGGCGACGGCTATCGCTCGACAGTATAGTACGATTATTATCTAACATTGTACGCGCGCGCGGAGCGTATTTGTATATTATATATCGTGTGCGAGCGCGAAAATTCAACAGGGAGTCGTCAACCGCATCCGTATATCATATTATTGTAATAATATATAGCGACGACGACGACGAATGGCGGCGGTGTGCGCGGCGCGACGACAGTACACCACCGCCGTGCTACGGGGGCGAAGGGACAAGGGTAGCGCGCGCGCAGCACGAGGCGGCAGGTCGGAAATTATATCATATATTATAATATAGGTCTGTGGAACGTCATGCGGTGTACGCGCACTGCACGACCACGATACACGCGTACGATGTATATAAATATAATAATATTATAATGACGGCGGCGGCGTCTGCTCGGTGTGTACACATCACGACTAACGGCCGCCGGGAGATCGATACGGCCACTAGCCGCCGCCAGTTACGCGGGACAGCGTGTTTTTACGCGAGAGTGTGCAGTGTGTGTGTTGTGCTAAGGGGCGCGCGCGGCCGCCGCCGCAGGGATTGCGCGCGCGACCGGCGACTTGGCGTCTGCCGCGAGCCGCCAGACCGGCGACAGGCGCCGCGCCGAGACGCCGCCACCGCCTCCCTCCGCGGCCCGTCCTCTACTCCGATAACCCGAGCGCAAAAAACTCTGTCGCTGCTGCTGCCGCCGCCGCCCGCAAAGCAAAATTATTACATTATAATATTATTACACACGTAACGCGGCGGTGAAGGGGAAGAATGAGCGGTGCGCGCGATGGGGGGTGACGGTATATTATTATTATTACACACGCGCCGAGCTCGGGTGGGCGGTGGCTGGCTCGTTCGCATGTTCGTCGCGTATCGACGTAGATGCGGCGCGGTTAGAGGTGCCTTCCCGTCCGCGTGCGCGCACGATTACGATTATTATTATGCCTAGGTCGGATAAGGTCCGCCGCCACCCGGAATGGAAAACTCGAGATAAAAGTCGCCCACCCGACCGACCGCGCGTTCCGCCGGCAGAGGAGCCGCGCGGCCAAACCTGTTGAGCGGATCCGAGAACGCGTATTCTCGTCCGACGCCGCCGCCGCCGCTTCTCATTCGACAAGTGCTCAGCGCAGTTAACGCGCGAGGTCAGTGTCGTGTGATAATATAATATTATTATTTATTATCATTGCCAAACACCCGTTATGTGCGTATTCATTATAATAATATTATACTCGCGACGATATCGCACCGACCGACGCCACTGCCACGCGGAGCCCACGTTATTCTATGCCAAATTATATAATAATATGTACCTACACGCGCTACAATGGGGTTAGGGGCAGGTGGCAGAGATTTTATTGTCACGAAATCGTGGTATTATTTGTTTTCACCCCCATCTGACCTGATATACCACCACTCCCATCTAGCCGTGTTATAATATACATCACACCTGTTAACATAAGTGGCACCGGAATACTGAGTTGAAAACATAATATTGGAACCATCAAAAACGATCGGTATGACGGCACCTATGTAATATAAAAAATTGTTATATAATACCAGACGTCTGATACAGTGGTACTCAACACTTGACCTAACACTGATGATGGTATAATGTGTAAACCATGATAGAATGAGCAAGATTAATCTTAAAAATCCGGTTTTGGTATGCGTCCTCGCAGCATCATGACACGCACCTATACCTACCTATATTATGAGTATATTATATATTTTTAATGAAAAAATGCATATGGACGCCTTGTACGAGCTAACCGAAATATCTAACAGTCAAAAAGTTAGGATCACAACCATGTAGTTTATGTCATGGTGTAAAAAATCATATTGTTATTTCGTTGTAAAATAAAACCGTGCAGTTATTAAGTAATATTATGTGCGTTCGGACATGCCGTCCATCATTACGAGCAAGTACAATAATGGTATTTTATTTTATCAGATTCGTACTTTTCTAAATACAGTTATGGTTGTACCATTTAATATATTTCACAATATTTTAAGGTCATAATACCATTATTAGGAGTTTCCTGTCCTCAAAATGTAATGCTATTATAAATAATAATATGTAGTAGATTAACATGCATGTTTTAGATTCTGAGCAGAGTGAGAATGTATTGAATTACAATAATTTGTTTTTTATTTTTGTGTTTTTACTAATAGAAAAAAATGCTCTGATTATCAACTTTAATGGAGGTTTATGGTAAAAAATTGGATCAAGTTGATACTTTTTGGAGGTCAAAATTAAAATTACCCAGTATTTTTTTAAATAATCAGGAAAAGCAAAAATTATGAATATTTGTTAAGTTGTAGTATTATTATAAAAATAACTGTTTGGTAACCTTAATTCTAAAATGTATTTTAGTTTTTTTCTATAGAATCTGTAGAATAACATGTGATATTGATAAAAAATGTTTGTCGATCAAAAAGCTTACAAATGTAATACAAGTTATAAGTTGTTAATACTTAGTAATTTGTATTGTATTTTTTATATTTTAATTTTGAAAATAAAATCGTATAATAATGAATGTGTTGTTGTTATATCATATTCGTTTTAATTACAATGTACATGTATTTATTTTGTATTCAAATATACGTATATATTTACTAAAAACAAATGGTTATCATCATAAAATACGTGTGTATTCCCATTTCCCCACTAAAAACATTTCATTGTAAGGTTCTTTTAAGTTTGAATTTGTTTATTGACCATATAAATATTATTAAAAATGATAATTTTTAATACATATTAAATTACTATATTTATTATACGTGCATAAGAATGAATGCCGTTTGTAGCTAAAAGAGCTGAGTACTGGAGAGCTAGTAGAAAAAAATCAAATGCTTACATACTATCCAAAATATAAGTGTTTTTTAGTTATATTGGTATTTTATACCAGCTAATTTCAATTGCCTGGCTTTAGTTTTAAATCATTGTGGTTTTTACATTGACTATTTTAGAGTAAATAAAGATCTTTTCAGAATCGTATGCCTGTCAATTAGTACAGTGGTTTATCCGTCTTTAGAAATACAATTTTTAAAAATATCATAATATAAACATTTTATTACGCATACAACTGTAATACTCATTCATTAAATTATTGTTAACATTTTATTTATTAATCAAGGATTGACTGATTAAATTATTATAAATGACAATATTATAATATTATACACACAATTACCGTCCTTGTAGATCAACAAAATATCTATTTAAAAAAAAAACCTACAAACAACCAATTGCATAAACTTATTTCTTTATTGACCATAAATTGTGTAGGTCGTTACACGAGTGGAATAGAGAAGTTTGACGTCATGACCTAAAAATCGCCTAGTCTCGCCAGCATCCCATTTGGCTGACTTAAAATTTTGGCACTTCAATACTCAACAGAACAGTTTTACTTGGGTTATTGCTAATTTATTAAAACGTATTTTAAAAATTTTAAACTTCAAAATGTATTTTATTAATGAACCTTTGTATTATATAACTATATAAATTAAATAAATTGAATGAATATAATATTATTATATTATATATTATCATAAAAATGTGTTCGTATTCGTTGTCTAACCAATTATGTAATAATCAACTGTCTTTTCCTATATTAACCAGTTTTAATTAAATGTAAAAGCAAAAAAGTATTATGAAATTTTAAGGTTTTTACTAATATTATAATAAAAATAGTCCCACGAAGACTTACTGATTAAGTTTAAAATTTTGTAAGAAGATACTATTGTTTAAATTATTGTTTTCCAATATAGTAAAAATGTGTAGTCTTATGGTGGTGAATTACATTATATAAGAGGTTGATATACGAAAATTAAAAAAGCGCCATTATAATAAATTATTATTTTATTTTAAAATTATAATTTAAATATATTAAATCTTATGAACTAATATACACGCCAAGGAGGCAGCAAAATCGTCGGGATGTCGGAATGAATTTAAAGTAATTAGATAATGAAATAGTTTTATTTTAATTGATTTATTAGTTAATCAAATGATTATGAGTAATTAAATATCTACATATATAATATATATTATATAGTATATCCCAAAAGTCTGATATAGCCCCAAAGCCCAAATATATATCTCCTAGACCGTGACACATCAATATATTTAAATGCTGTTTTTCAACTGTTTTGTATAAGAAAGTTAAAATTGAATAGCATACATTTTCTAATGATTTACATTGGATATAATTAGGTTAAAAAGGACTTTCGGGACAAGCTGTATAATATACGCAGATATTCTTTAAACGTGAAATAAACAATAGTTAATATCTTATAACATTTAAATTTAAAAATCCACTCATCGTATAAAGAAAAATTAAAACAATCATTTAAAATAAAAATGCAAACCGAATAATTTTAATACTAAAATTAAATCACCTATAAAACTCATAGGGAGGATGTTAATCTATTTTATAAGATTTATGAACATTTTAAATTGTATAGGTAGGTACATAAAAAAATTGCTTAAAAAAAATCTAAAAATTGTTTGAATGTTTGAAGCTATAGATTTATTTACGAAAAGAAATCAAGCTAAATTAATTTCTTATGTGCAATAATAAAATATATATAAAATATTTAATTTGAATATATTATATTAAATTATTATTCATTGACTCACAGTTAAAGCTTTCTAAATTCCAATGCCGATAAAATATTTATTTATAATTTAATTCAATAATACAATTAAACCACAGATAAATATTTAAATTAATAAATATATTAATATTGTGTATCAATATTCTAGTATATAACATATACAATAATAAAAATTAAAAAATATTAAAACTATAATTTATTTAGCAAGTACACAATTTATAAATATTTAAAATTATGAGGATGCAGTTTGTAAAATAATCTGTTTTTCATACCTGAAGTAATTGTTTGATCTACTGGGCTGGTTAGTGAACTTCTTAACCTCTGGTAACCAATGAATATCAGGTATAACATCACAGGTATCCAAATCGATGGCACCATATACCATGAAGTAATGGTGAGTGATTCTATGAAATCGGAGCCGAACAATCTCAGTTTTCGATCAACAGGAGCCAACACCCATTCTTTATACTTTGGGCCTAATGATCCAACTTGCCAAAACATAGGTCGATTCCAATCTACAAGACTCTAAAACAAAATAATATAAACAATTGTAATTTATTATAATATGAATACAATAATATTAAAATTAATTTTAAAATATAAAATGTTTATGTAATTATTACATTTTATCGTTGAAAATTTTTTTATTACTGTACATTTAAGTTGTATGTGGACTATACAAATTAAAAATACACATACAACATAGATATGGACATTAAATTATTAACTTATAATATTTTTATTTTTATTAATATACCTATAATCGAGCCTTATATTGAATAGAAAATACGTAAAAGACAAATGTTACGGTAGCTGCATTCAGTACAGTACATTACACCTATAGGTATTAAATGTAGATGTTCCGTTAGCATTAGCGCGAACAGAACTTTACACTTTTATTTTTTAGTCATTCAATACGTATAAAAACGGTTTTATCAGTCATCTTTCTCAAGGCACCCTAAAGTAAGCCAATATTATATAATTATTTGAAACTTTAAAATAATTATCACATTTTTGTGATCATGAATATAATTGTTGGCTAAAGACGTATGTTTATAAAGCATTTAAAAACTTTAAACACCGATAATCGATGGACTAAAAAAAAACAACGGGAAACTCGCTCTGCTGTATAGTAGGTTTCGATCGTAATTCATCAATCGCCAATGAGGAGGTCACTGTAATGGATGTATCGCATTTTAAACCAATGATAAATAATTACATTCAGTAAAACGATTCTGAGCGGAGCTTCGGTGTAATATAGGTATACTTCGGTTTCTAACGTTAATTATGAATTCAGTAGGTTTAACATTACATCATAATATCAAGAGCAAAACTATAAAAATATGACTTGTGTGTAAATCAAGAAATCTAAATTGTGAATGTCTATTATCTAAATGTCTATAGCCTAATATTTCAATAAAAAATATTTAACATTTTATCACCGTCTATATCACGGGTCGCTAACCTTTTCAAACAAGTGAGCTACATTTGAAAGTTTTAGTCCCAGGTGATCGACATCCAGGGTATTTAGGTCTTTAGGAAGAGATTTGTTTATGAGCAAAAAAAAAGTCTAAGCTCCAAAACGAATATATATTCGTATTATAAAACGATAATATACTGAAAATATACACGTTGCACACTTGCACGTGACGACTAATTGACAGTCGGGTTATAACTGACAATTATTCTGACTATTTATTGTAGCCAATGGCCCCTTAAAAAAAAAAGCTGACTATTACGATCGATCGATAATGGTAAAATTAATTTTTTATAACGATCGACCTATATTCCTAGAAGGATCGACTGGTTGGCGACCCCTGGTCTATATAGTACTAAATTAAGTAAGTAATTGGTATTTATTTTTGGAACTATTCTTATTATTTTTTGAGTTTTTCCAGACATTTATCGAACATTTCCAAAAATCAAAAGTTCCGACTGAATAAAATTTGGTACTGAAAAATGGGTATATATAGTATGTCTGCTGATTAAGTCAAGTCTTCTGGTCATAAATTTTATCACGGAAAAAAAATAACATTGTAAAGCCACTTAGCTTCCTTCTCATTCCGCTCAACATCTAAAATTAGGTACCAGTTAAAATTGTAGAGATTTAATAAATATAGTTATACCCTAAAACTATATGTTAATCTTGGTAACTATATATTAATCATGGTTATTGCAGTTCTAAATTTAAATTTTAAATTGCATGAAATAAAAATATGGGGTACATTAGTTATTAATATTTTCATAATATTTGTCTATGATCAATACTGTTTTTTAACATTATATTGCTTCTATAAACTTAAATACCTACATCATGATTGACGAATATATTTTAAAGTCTCTAGGATTATTAAGTAGGTAGTAAAATAATACAATAAGTTGTCCTGCCTAGGGTGAATCCTATCCCCTACAGGATGGTTTCCTGTGATATTATGGATTTTTCAGTATTTTATCTTATCTTTCTAGAAAACTAGTAAGAAATTTAAAAAATAACCTGTCTGCAGTAGTCGAATTAACCATTTGGCCGTGTTCTGTTCCCAATCTAGAGAAGAGCTATATATGAAACTTTTACTTTTAGAGTATGTTTTTTACCAAAAAAGTGATCATTAATCACATATGCATAACTGTACACCTAGATAGAAAAAATAGACACACTACGTTTTATTTAGACCCCAATTATAATTAATATCAATGAAAATTATTAACCCAATATAAGCACCATTATAGATGACCGTTACAATGAGCATTATACTTATACATGTAGAATGTTACAAGTTATATTCATTCGAAACCATGATTTGGTACTAGTTCATCAACAATAATACTGCAGGAGGGCAAACCACCATAAATAATAGGTCTGGACAAAAGCTCTAATGTAGCTGAGCTATGCCGACGAGCAAGGACCAAGGGGGTTAATTGTCCGAATATTTCTGGGCCAATGCATTGATCGGCATTGTCAAAACGAATGACGTCACAGTTCTCTCAACTGCTTTCTAGTCTGAATAAATACTATCGAGAGCTGTATATAGCAACAAGCGTAAAAGTTAAATAGGATATTTAGTGATTAGTTTGCCACTATACAAAAAATACTGCTCAACTTGACTTAATTATTTTAAATAATTATTTTCTAAATCAGAAGAATTAAAAAATATTATTATAACAATGAATTATAGACGGGGTGAACTTATAAACCAAATACAATTGCACCAAACATAATACTATGATGGTAAATATTATTTTTTATAATATATTATGATTGTATGATGCTATACATAAAAAATATATATGTTATTATATGTTATTAACTTATCATTTAAGTTTATAAACACATTCATTCCCAACTGATTACTATATGAAATATTTAAAGATAGCTTTATTTTTAAATAAGAAAAAATGAATACCTCGCACACAATTCATTAAAATATTTTATTTTTTCAAAACCACACATTGATACATTTTTAAAAGAGGTTTGAATAAAAACTTACTACGAGTTGAATATATTGTCAGAGTTCCAAATATTTTGTTCCGAAAAACCTACTTATGTATTAGATTTTTGTGGACCCGATTTTATTACATGTGCATAATAGAATAATACTGTAATCTATGCAATATGTAAATCAACTTCATAGTTTTCTTGAGTGCCCAGAACGTTTAAAAAAAATGTATGAAATCAATGCCAAGTTTTTACCATTATAATATACAATACAATAACTCTAAAAATGTTAAAATATGTGATTTTTTCATACTTCAAATATGAGAAGATTGCCGGACGGTATACCACCGGATGTAGTGCATTCGTCTAGCTTCACTCATCTGTGCATATGACAGTGGTGTGTTGATATTATATTAAATTTGAAGGAAATGATAAATGTATAAAAACGGTTTTCAACAAAATTTAGTTGAAACAGGGCTTATTTATATTTTTTTAACATTTAAAAACAGTTCAAAAAAAGGTGCTCTGCTGTACAGTAGGTTACAAGTGGGTCACTGTACAATGGATGGTATTAATTTTGAATTCAATGATGGTTATGTATTTTTAATATTTTTCAACTGATATTGTAACAATATATCAGGAGCCTTGTATTAAATTTTTACACTTTTTGGCCCAACAGATAAAACTTTATTGATATTTATAGAAAAAAAAACTAAAAAAATTGAAAACTGTAAATTTCCGTAAACAGCTCAAAAAAAGACAAAATATTTTAAAATTTTAATTGTATGGTGTGTAGGAAATGCTAATATAAACATTCAGTGAAATTTTCATGTATCTACAGTTATTCGTTTTTGAATATTACAACAATATATGGACATCGCTACATGAGAAATCGAATGAATATCCAATGTTGTAAAAATTTGAATGTCAAACGCTCATAAAAATTTAATTTGACTTTCTTATACACATTTTTTTTGTTGATAAATGTAGAAAATCTTATAAGGAATCTTGTATTACATTTTAAAATCTTATATTTAAAAAGAAAAATTTTTACGAATTCTTAACTCAAAATAATTTGCTAATTTTCGTGATTTTTCTATATTTTGTAAGTTTTTGAACTTTAAATGCTTATAAAAAAAAAAACGGTGGCTAGCTAAGGATTTATAATATTTTTCAAATGTCATTGTAACAATATAGTAGGAGCATTGTATTAAATTTTCAAGTATTTTTACTCGACCAATAATAAGTTTTATTGACATTCATAGGGAAAAAAACTAAAAAAAAAATGGAAAATGAAAATGTCCCTTAACAGTTCAAAATAAATCAAAATATTTTGAAAATGTTATCGTGTATAGAAAATGCAAATATAAACAACCGGTGAAAATTTCATCTATCTACGGTCATTTATTTTAAAATTACACCAAAAACCAAATTCAATTTTGTGAAAAATCGATTTTGCGTAAAATTCCCGTTTTTTCTTAATTTTTCTTTTGTTTTTCTTGGCGTTTTGGAAAATTACTGTGAATTTTAAATATTGACCTTCCCAATGCACCTACGATATTCACTTTCCAATCGAACAAGGTACTGAAGTTGAAAATCGAAGCATTATTTCGACTACTTATCGTGTACACACACAAAAAAAAAAAACACACATCATTGTAAAATCAATACATTCATCGTTCCACTCAGAATCTAAAAGAAAATAAAGAATTACGTATAAGATGAAGTAGTATTATAAATAGTTATAAAATCGCTTAAGTCTATAATACTTTTAAGAGGTGTAAAAAGCTTCAACATTTAATTAGACAATGATCACTAATATTATATTATTTTTATAGTTGGTGTAATAAAAGTAATTTTGTGAAAATTTAAAAATAACATGTCTACAACTTACAAGACGATACTAATTTTTGATAATCTGTTTAAAAGGACCAAAATCACCACTTCTAATTAAAAATGATACAAAACTATATTATACCTATTATAAACGTTTCATATTATTAAATAAGAGAAATAAGAGTTTTAAATACCATTAGTTTTGAATTAAATTAAATTTATTATTAATTCCTTTAGTATTTATTCCTTATGAATG